TAGATACATACATAGATAGATAGGTAGGTAGGTAGATAGTCAGAGAAAGAGAGAGAAAGAGAGGAGACCTCAAGCACCTTTCGGTCCATCAGTGGATTCGCTCTGCCACCCGTGATTCACAACAACCAATCTCTCCTATAGGTTTAATAGGTTTCCTATTTTCGGAAACTTCTGCCACCGCCTTGTGCGGTAGTACTGGTACTATCTATCTCTTTACATCCCATCAAAACCCAAAATATGTATGTTGCGATCCCCATGTTTGATGATCAGGTACGTGTTGATGGTTCAATCACTCCATATCAATCCATATCATACTTTGATGGGCCCTGGTATTACTTAACTGATTAGTAACTGGATTATAACTGGTTAAATAATGGATTATCATCCAGTTACTAATCAGTTAAAGTTAAATAGTCCCATGGCCCATCTAAGTATATCCATATTCCAAACACGCCTTTTCCTGGTACTGCTCAAAGTGTCTGCTGCATCTGCTCGAAAAGCGCCAGGGACCATGGCCAGTCAGCTGAGCTGATGAGGGAATTGTAGGTCACCACCTCATTCGGTGCAGAGGTAAAGGCAGGATATCATCAAAATATATGGAAACATATAGTTTGCAAACAGAATTGTTTACTGTAGATGTATACAATGTATTCAACATTTACTATATGTGTGCATTATACTACGGTATATGTATATGTAATGTATATTTATGCATTGCAGTATATGATAATTGGTTGGTTGGTTAGTCGAACGACTCACAGCAGTAGCCGTGGTCCACCGGCACAACCTCCACCAGCAGATCTCAGGGTCAGCTCCGGAAACGTCATTGCTGCCCTCCCCGCAAGCTTCTGGTGGCCTTCTAGAGCAGAAACAGGAACAAGAGAGGAAGGACGCAAAACAAAAGAAGACCCGAACAATCCGAAAGAGCCACTAACACTAACGAGTTAAAATCTCCAACCGCGACCGCGTACCAACTTTTAGCCAAGCACAAGTCAAGCCCAAAACACCAACCGTCCGCAACCCGCTCGGTGGAAGAATCAAACATCCGTGAAGAAGCACCACTGGGACTATGCATTGCAATCACGGGCAACGCCGTGCCACGAGGCAAGGTGAGATTTCCAGCCAGCCCTCGACCAACTTCTTCAAAAGGACAGGCCACTGTCCGACATCTTGCCTACAAACGGGAGCACGCCAACAGCCCAAACCAATGGTAGCAGACCCGCCACTTCAGCAGCATATAACACCATTTAGAAAGAACTAGGACGCCAGCACCTGCAAGACCCAGAGTAGCCATGCATACACTTCAGACTGGAGCGAGACACCCGTGAATTCCTCCAAAGAAACACATCGACCGACCCACAGAAAAGGACAAGGAGAGTGTAAGTCCCAAACAGCTCCCCTAACCTGAGAGGTCGGGGGGACAGCATCCCAGGCAGCATATCCATGACACGCAACTACGAAACCTGCAGCAACGACTGAACCAAGGCAAACTGACGCCAACCACCTACCCAGCGAGCAAACACGGGGCCACCACAGGCGAGCAAACGCCACCACCAACCAACCACACCAAAACCAAAGGCGAACAAACACCAACCACCACCACGCCAGCGAACAAACGCTGGCCACACACCAAAGGAGAGCAAACGCCGACCACCACCAGCACCCCCGCCTCAGCCACCGCCAGCGCGGCCACCACCACCACCAACCCCGCACAATTGAGGACAAAACAAGAACAACAACAAAAAGAGGTCAGGAGGGGCCGGCCAAACCAAGCACAAGGGAAGGCCAGAGGCAAGGGAAGCAGGAAGGAGACCACAGAGAACACAGACAGCCAAAGAAAAAGAAAGCCAAGAAGAGGAAGAAAAGGAAAAAGAAAGAGAAAAAAAGAAGAAGAAGAAGAGGAAGAAGAAGAAGACCTGAAGCGCAAAACACAACACAAACCATGAGCAGAATCTGCAGAGGGCACTTGGAAAAGAGAAAGCAGAAGCCCCAGAGCACCAAAAGAAAACCACCAAAAGAAGGAAACACAGCCCAGCAGCCCCAGGGCATCAAAAGACAAACGCCAATAGCAGTGATCAGCATTAAAGAACCATTGCCAACCACAGCACCAAGAGGAAAAGAAACACAACACAAGGGGCAGGACTACCAAAACAGCAAAACAAAAGGCACCTCAGGAGGAGCAGAAGCCCCAAAACATTAAAAGACAGGCTCCAACCACAACCAGCGACAAACGTCAACCGCTGTGGACAAAAGCCTGGAAGCGCGAAACGCAACGCCCACCGCAACGACCAAACAGCGCGCAGAAAGCCAAGAGCAATCAAATGCTCGGCAGCAGCTAACGCGGCACTGTCACTCTTGCACCGGCGTTGGAGACGGGATGGAGGGTGCTCGTCGGGAACAAACCCCTAGTGCCGCCCCCGGAATCCGCCCCATCCCATGAAATCTCACCCAGCCCAATCCCAATGGTGCAAGACCCGGGGGGTCTGTAAGGGTAACTGCTTCTTTGGGGCAGCAGCAGTATCTTTGCTGGTGCCCCACCTTGTGGGACTCCATGTCCTCCCACTGCCTCCCACATAACATTGTCACATATTGTCACTAAGGCGGCAACTATATGCAAGAATATCATACTATCATTGCATCACCGACACAGTGCTTAAATCGATCATGACGTTCTCTTCGAATTTTCTCCGTGGCAGGGGCGACAGCCCTTAAATAATCGATACTTGATCAAACTGGCAACAAATTCGGCCACAAAAGCCTACCGCATGTCAGCTTATCCAGCGGCATCTTCGTCATGTTTCGTTATTTTTCTCGCATGTTTCAAGTCCATCTGAAGTTGCTCGGTAAAAAGATGTAAAAAGGACATCGTGACGGAGCAACGGCACATCAGAAAACCCATGGGGCGAGGCATGTCCCTCTTGGGGATTGGAAACATCAAAGATGGGAAGTTAAAAATAGTTGTTTGCAATTTGTGTGGATGCTGTAAACTTGTGTAACTCAGCACCTGATGCCCATGTGTTGCGTAACAACGTTCAGAAGGTCGCAACACGATGCCCTGCGCCGCGGATTGGAAAATCTCGAGGCGCAAAGTTTGAGTTCGCAGCACAGCTCTTGGGGCTCCCGCACAGCTTTGAGGTGCTGCTTGTGCCGGTCGCATCGCAGCACAGATCCACACACAACCCTCTTTTCAATCCATGACAAGAAATTCTAATACATCAAAAGTATTGGATTTTCAGATTTTTCACTATACCAATCTGAGGGTAATCCACTTTTTCAATGAAATTACAGGCACCCTGGATGTAAATCATGAAATCGTGGGCGGATCCAGTGGAGCCCTGCTGTGCCAACTGTGAGACAGAAACCAGGCCAGGCCGAGTGTCGGTTCATAAGTTAGTTTACCAGGGGGTAAGTTACAGATTGGTTTCTTTCATGCGGCGAAAAACATGCTGCCTGCCGCGCCCTGGCCGTTGCTGCGGTCGCACTCGGTCCCAGTAGGATGTATTCTCCAATGATGCACTGGCTGGTGGCCCTCTTTTTCCTCCAATTTGCAAGCAAGATCTGAGGAATCTGTTGTTGACCATGACACTGGACTGATGCGTTGTAAGGTTCACAAGCCTGGTGCAAGTCCATTGACGCCGATGGCCCCTTCAAGCCCTACGGTTGCTTAAAAAAAAACTGCAAACCTGGAAGTCCGTTCAAAACTCATTGGTCAACTCTGGTCTTCAGCATACTTCATAAGGAGATATATGATATGAAACATATTTTCTATCAAAAGATAGGGTCTCCTCATGAAATCATCATCTTTTTGTCACAGCTTCCAGTGGAGGGTGCCATAAGCGCTGCAATCAGCGCTGCCGCGGCCAGAAACTGAGCTGGCCGGCGCCGGCCGCGTCGTGCCCAAACTGGCGTATCAACACAGCCCATGGATGTATTATTACCTGGTTTCTTTCATGCGGCGAAAAACATGCTGCCTGCCGCGCCCTGGCCGTTGCACTGGCTGGTGGCCCTCTTTTTCCTCCAATTTGCAAGCAAGATCTGAGGAATCTGTTCTTGACCATGACACTGGACTGATGCGTTGTAAGGTTCACAAGCCTCGTGCAAGTCCATTGACGCCGATGGCCCCTTCAAGCCCTACGGTTGCTTAAAAAAAACTGCAAACCTGGAAGTCCGTTCAAAACTCATTGGTCAACTCTGGTCTTCAGCATACTTCATAAGGAGATATATGATATGAAACATATTTTCTATCAAAAGATAGGGTCTCCTCATGAAATCATCATCTTTTGGTCACAGCTTCCAGTGGAGGGTGCCAAAAAAGCTGCAATCAGCGCTGCCGCGGCCAGAAACCGATGGTTGATCGAAAAGAATTGGACAAAACATCCAATATTCATTTTAGTTAAACGGATAACCCATGACATCATATGGGAATCCTGCACTTAAGATGTTATTCAATTATTCCAAACCACGATCAGGGGCAAAGGGATGGGGCGGCGGCGGGGCAAGGTCGCAATCGCCCAGATCGCTGCTTTCCTTCCAATCCATACCGTCGATCTGATAGGACTGGACTTCCCTTCTACCGGAGTCCTTGTCGAGCAACAGAACTTCGTGGGCTCCAAAAGTAACACTCTTCTTGCGCTCAAGGCCGAGGCTGCCCATTGGTGAACGTGGTGTCACCGTCGATTCCATGGATTTCATGTTGCTGCATTGCCTCGTATAGCTTGAGGCTTTTGTTGTCACCGAACGGCTTGCTTCCGAATCCTTGCTGCGATTCGATCGATTGCTTCGTTCGGATTGCCGCGATTGCTGCGATTGCTGCGATCGCGTCCCCCCGCGTGCAGCGAAAGCACCACTTGCAAAAGGCGTAGATCTGGTCATGACTCCTGCGAAATGGATCTGATGCTGTTGCTGGTTGCTACTCGTGCCGCTGCTTGCTCCGCTGCCCATGATTTTTTTCGGAACGACGACGCAGGTCGACAGACGTAGAATTTACGCGGTTGAGTTTTGATGTCACTTGAGCATTATATGATAAATTATATGTATATATATATATATATTCAATCAGTGCAGTACATATATAGTAAAGTGTAGCAACAAATAATGGCAACATCGCAAACATGGATGTATCGAAAAGGCGAGACTCACCGATCTCATTCGACCAGTTGATCATCTGTTTAATTATCCACGAAACCCACAGTTTTTTCTGGCCCAATTCAAGACTCTACTCCGCTGCTATTGTGCCTGGATTCATGGTGAAACCACATGATTTGTTTCCTGTCTGCGAATGCTGCACCATTCACAAGATTTCATTCCTTAAAAATTGTTCCTAAGATTGTTCTAATGATTCTAATGGGAAATTTCCAATTCTCCTGTTCCACTTTTCCTAGCTGTGCTTGGATTTGTTCCTACGGGTACCGCAAAAAATCAAGGATTTCCCAAATGCTGGATAAACCACTGGGAAACAATTTAAACATTATCTTCAGCCGATTCCAGGTGGTTATAAGTTATATCCGGGTGAACTAACATAGATGTGGAAAAACAATCGGTTCCCTAGGAAAATGATCTACAAATGATTGGTTTTCTACCTGGCAAAATCCATATAAATCACCACTAAGTCCTATGAAATCACCATGCAGCCCTATGAGATGCCATTGACTCCCCACAAAATCAGCCCAATCCCCAGAAAATCTCTAGAAATCTCTAAGACCCCCATCCCTCTCCAGGGCTTTGACATTCATAGGGATCTGCAACTGCTCCACCAGCATGGAAGCCATCCACCACGCCTTCCGGCCAACCTGACATGGCAACGCCATCGACAAAATTCCGTGCGGCCCAAATGTGGTAAACCCAATGCCGTAAACCTGCCATTTGGGGATGGTTTTAGACAACCCAATCAACCCATAAAAATGATGATTTTGGGGATTGATTCTGCGTTTAGCACAGTCATTTCTTATCTCATTCAAAACACAGGGTGTCTTAAAGTTCCGAAAAATCAGACGTCACCTTTTTCAAGGGAGCATTCGGCCACCATAGCTGCTAACCGCTGCACAGACGGGTTCCCCCTGGTGTTTGCGATCGACTCGTCGTGGATCAGATTCAGGAAAATCGTGCAGCAGGCTTTGAGTAACTGAAACAGAAGTTGCAATGAATTTGTATGAGTGTTTAACGTGAAAGTTATGCAAGTAATTTATTTAACGTGCAACTTATCAACTTTAATTTGTATATATAGTTTACATGATATCATTATATGATATTAGTATGAGTGTTTAACATTGTTTAACGTGAAAGTGGGGTACTAAAAAATGGCTTCCCCAAAAGAAATCAAACAATTCGTTCGCGCGTTTGGATGATTTTAAGGCCCCATAATGTTTTGAAACCCCAAAATATATCTATTTATATAAATATATATACTGTATATATATATATATTCATCTCTCTATCTATCCATCTATCTAATGTCCTTATCTAATATCAACGTGTCCATTTATGATAAGCACAAACAACAACTACAGCTGCAACTGTCCAATCAGCGACTGTGCTCTACGTCGAGCTTCCGTGCGGGCCATAGAGTTCATAGCAACCACATCCAGCTCTATGAGGCTGTCCTGGACAGGCCGTCCAGTTCTGCTGATCGTCTAAGATGCAGATAGACACATGTGAAACTATAAATATACATGGTATATCATGGTATTATACTGAAATATAGAAACATAAATCATACAGTATGCATTTTGTTTAGCAGTAAATGTGTATTGTGTGTATATGTTGTCATGACTGTAACTCACTCAAATAATCTCGAAAAAATGTTTGCCATGTGTCAGAACACCCAAACAAGGTTGGTGGGGTTGACAGGAAAGAGGAACGCAAAGTCCCAGAACTCATTTAAGGGAACATATTCAGGCAAAAAGACAGAGAAAACCATGTTAAACCTGCAATCCCTTGTTTCCTTGTAGATATTTCCTTCAGCCAACCATGGTAAGCATTCTGGCTAGGTGAACATATGAAATAGATCATACATTCCATTCATGTTTGGAGATCTTCACCAGCTGGTGCCTGCTTTAAAAACAGATCCACGACTGCACGTTTACCCAACGTAAGCCTAAACTCCTGTGAACCTTGAACAAGAACAGTTCTTCATTAAAATAGCTGATGGTTTGTGGAAGTCTTGAAACCGACGAGTTGTGGCTTCCTCAGTACTGTGGACTCATGGATTTTCACGACATTTCCACAGCAAAAAATCAGGTGATCCCGGCACCAAAAAATTGCTGCCACCTCTTCATGGACATAATACCCCCCCCTCCACCCCCCCCTCTTCCTGGAGATACCTTCAACCTCTACTAAGTAGCTAGTAAGCTCTTGGTAAGCCTTTACAGCTTCAAAGCCCTTGGCAGCCACTCAGTAGCCAATAACCAGGCTGGCAAAGCTTAGCAAGCCTTAGCAAGATTCCACACATTTTGGACTCAGGCAATCCATGTTGGATCCATTGTTGGTTTACATCCAGCTCAATTAAGCTGTCTTTCACAGTTGTCAATCAGTAATTTGAAATGCCATTACATTTTCTGCTTTGATTTTACTGTATACGATATACATGTAGGCTTCTTATGTTCTGCGGAAAAACGTATAACTGTGAGCGGGAAGCATGCCCATGCACTTTGAGCGTTGCTCCACTCATTACGCTGGTCTTCAAGTAAGTAGGCTGTTGCCGCAGTGGCAACACGGTTGGAAGCAAAACCTGCAGCCTTCCAATCCCGCGCTTTCTTCAAAAACTCAGTTTCGGTTCCAATCGACGCTGGAATGGGGTGCTTGGAAGGTCTGTACAAGTCATCCACGCCAAAGAAACTTGACCGTTGGCCGTCTTTTCTAGATGCCATGCATGCTTGGAATGTTGGGTAGGTCACTTCAGGAGAAGGAAGGTTGGCTGTACGCAAGGTGGGTGAAGAAGCGGCATAGAAGTATTGACTCGGCTTTGCTAGGTATGCTCTACCTTTGTTCTGTGCTTTTGCTATGTGCTGCAAGTGGTTGAACTGATCTTCCAAGATGAACTTTGTCGTGTGCGGCCCTGCGTACAGCTGCTTTGAGAATTCCAACAGGTCTCGGTCCAACGCCGACCAGTAGCAATCCTCAAAGTTTGTGTTTTCTGGATAGGAAAAATGGTCTATAAATTATCAAGTCTATTTTGATTTCTCTTGATTGGCAACGTCCAATTTTCAGGAAAAAGACTAGATCTACAAATGGTAGTCAAGGTTCCGACCCAATCTTCATGAGTTCCCTTGCCACTTGCAGTTTGTGCCAAGCCATTTGATCTAAGCATTGCGCCAATCCAGGTTTGGCCATCTTTCGCTCAGCTGCCAGGATAGCATCAGAAATCCGACGCATGAGATTGCAGGATCCCTGTTTTGCGTCAGGGTTTTCATGCAACATCCCTGCGCAAACTTGGGGAAGACACATGGAAAACATGGACTGTGACCACGCTCTTGCTGCAGATACATGGATCAGCAAAGCGTAAACCATCCGGGTCAAAGCCAGTTCCTCTTGGACCCGGGGTTCTTTTTGACGATCTTCTTTCATTGTGCCACCTGATGTTTCCATGTCAAGTTTTTGGAAAAGCTCTTTGGATTCAAGCAGCCCAAGAGTTTCTACAATACATTTGCTCCAAGAACCCAGCGCTCTAGTCGCCGACCACCGGGCCAAGCCAAGCTGCCCAGATTGTTGAGCAGCAATGTCAAAGTAAAACTCTCGCTCAAGTGGTTCAAGGCAAAGGAATATAACTCTCAAGCGTTTCTGCAAGCCTTTATCTTGGTAGAGGTTGCTGCACATATGCCATGAGTTTTTGTATTCCCCCCTGAGTGCGTTGAACTCTTTCCTGGTGGCAGGGTCTGGGCATATCACAATCTCTTCATGAACCTGTCGTTCATGCTGATGTTCATCGCCACCCTCGTTATCATCACCATCGTTGTCTTCCCCCTGCTCTGCTGTCTGTAGTGTTTCCTAGTCGTGGTTCCCATCCCTAATGTGAAAAAAAATAGAATCATTTGACTAAGTTCGGAGCATTTGAAATCTACAGTGTCTCATCATCTTCCCATCTCAAATCAGGATTTCAGGTACAACTCAAGGCCTGAAAAACTTGATTGTAAACACTTAAAAACACAACAATAATTACAAAGGTTGTTGCTGAACTTGAGCGTAGCAGGTATCCTCCACGCCAGCTGACAAAAACTCAAGAGTGACAATCCCGTTGACTATCCAGTTCCAGTCATTGCGACGCAGTCCAGCCAACAAGCTGAACCAACACTTGTTTTTCACCTGGGCCAATCATATGGCACTAATAGTGTGGAGGGACCCTGAGTAATAAGTCTTTGGTTGGTGTATTTGACGACCAGAAAAAAAATATCACAATCGAATTGAAACAACACACACATCAGAACAGTTTACACGGTCAGACTTCAGTTCAGTGGCAAGGCTGCCCCTATCCAAAGTTTCCCGGGCAGTGTTCCAGTCTGCTATGTCCCGTCTAACGTCTTCTTCAGTGATCATGGAGGCACCAATGAGGACATTCCGATCATATGCAATCTCATCCAAATAGTCACCGATGTTCACTTTGCTCGCCAAAGATTCTAAGACTTCTTGTTTTATGAAGATGATTTTTACCACCGAGGAAATATCCATGGTTCAAATTCGACATCAAAGTCCCCTTTAATGCGGCTCCATTTAAGTTGGCTTGGGATAGCGCACTTTTGGCATCATTCCATTTGGAGTGGAGAACCTCTGGTTCAGCAACCCCCCCCAAGTGCGAGTGGTACAGGAGGCCATACAGCGTCTTGCAGCCAATCGCTTCTTCGTCTGGTGCCTCAGCCATGTCTAACTAACGGAATGGGAATCCATCTGTATCTTAAAATGAGCTAAAGTGGAGTCCCGGTTGTTGAAACACCTAGGTGTCCAATCCTAGATTACTTGTCATTGCTACTGCGACTTCTTTTGAATTTCATGCGTGAGTGATTTCATATTT